TACATATTGTAAATGTCATTTTTTCATTGTTCTGTTTAAGATAGATGTCTGGAAGATGAACCAGACAATTAAAATACTTCCATAAATCACAAAACGACTATCCAATCAATCTAAAACCCCGTCAACTAAATTGAGTTTGGATGTCTACCTCAGCGAAAATGTCCAACAAGAGTAATGAAACTTATAAGTATATACATAAACAACTGTCCAGCCCTCCGGACAATCTTCACACCACTTGGACTAAAGATGACCGTTACATCGACGGATCCATTAGCGGGCAATATTTAGCCCGAAAAGTGGACAAGTCAATTTACCTATTGAAATAAAAACATGCCGACACAATGGACTATCTCAGGTATTACAGCCACCAGGCAGCTGGACACTGTCCGGTAATCAACCATCCGGTCACCGACCACTCAAGGAGGTGCCAGCCATCCGAACAGTGACCAATATTACGTCACAACGACTACTAGGACGCTCATGGCGAAAGGAAATAAGGGACGCATTGGCTCTTTATCTGTATGGGTAAAACGCTTTGGCTAGGAAAAGGGTGTTACAACAAGTGAAAGTGGAATTGATTATTTGTATGTAAAGTAAACCAAAGAACTTTCAGTATTTATATCATCATGTGTACACACTCTCAACGAAAATGTGAAAAGGAAAACACATCAGGTACGCCCGTTTAGCAAATCTCGTTTAGTAAATCTAAATATCATGCTCATTAAATTCTACCACAAAAATGTTCTTTTAAATGTATGCCTTTATACCGTGTATGCGTGTTCAAACATCATCGACGAGTCCATTTTAATCGAACATTCGGGTGGTTTCATTACCATGTTTCGAAATCACATTGACAAATAAGACTCCCTTATACAGCCACTGCTATTAAGTCGTTCTGTTCTATTATTCAAACAACTTTGTTAATTTTAGACTGGCGTTTATGGCAAACGAGATGGTTATCAACGTGAAAGAAACTTAACATTATATACTTCATATGGATAGAAAAGATTAAATCCTTATCGATAGCTTTCCTGACATATCGTATTTGTTTTTTTTTTTCAATGTCTAGCTGTGCTCTTGGATATAAAATTATAAATTAAGAGAAAAAACAGACATGCGCATTGTCTGCGAGCCAGTTAACTGACGATATGTTTGCAACACATATAAGAATTTTAAGACTACAGTTAAAACAGAATGTAGAATTAGAACATCCTTGTACTTTAGTCTTAGCATTAAAAGGAAGTTTAGATTTCGCAATTTGGGTATCATTTATGTCGTTTATAAAAAAAGGTAGAAGCAAACAAACTTTATCAAACAGCTATTTGGTTCCATAAATATTTACATCGAAATGTGTTACCTGTTAATGACATACCATATCGAAAAATAAGCTGCATTTAAAGATACTGATCTACACAAAGCTAGGTATAGCTTTCCCAACATTCATCCGCTACCTAATCAGATACGTCACTTCCTGTGATTAACATGGCAGTAATGGAGGGTGTCTAATAAACAGAAGGCGAAATAAGACACAGGAAGGAAGCATGTGATGATCGAGTGTGACGGGCCGCGTCCATAAATTTCTCGCCTAAGAAAATGACACCGGGCATTTCGTCATTGTAGGCCGGAGGCTCTCCGTACACATGTAACGATGGTTGTCATAACAGGGCTTACTCAGCCATAAATATAGACCCGCGTGCTAGACGAGAAAGATGGACAAAGAAGGAAACATCACTAAGTTTCAACTTGTCAGGAAAATCCCGCCGATATTTCTCAGCACTAATTATAGATCACAAACTTCCTTCAGATATTACTCAGCGCTAAATATAGAAATACTGTGTAAAGATAGCTATCATATTTTGGGGTATTTTATAATAATATTGTAATAGGTCCCATGCAAGGATATTATGCAACTGTATTTCTTTTTTGCGCTTTCAAAATTAGATCTAGGAATACCCTATCAAAGGCGAAATATCACAACTAGGTTAAAAACACCATTTCTTAACATCTTGAAATACATAAAATAGTCCTTAACTTACAGTGTTAAAATAATGATTTTTTTTTTGTGAATCACCATGATCTGTTTCCCCAGAGAGTGTTTATCTGCACGGCTATCTTCCCCTCTGAGTGTTTATCTGGTTGGCTATCACCGCATCTAAGTACTTTAGCCAGGCACAGCGGCCCACTTCCTCTACACTCTGATAACAGTAGTTCTGGGAGTCAACCGCCAGGAGATAAAGACTTCGTATGGCATTGCCAGCTAGGCATTCGATTAAACCATTTTTGAATTGTAAGAAATGTGATATCGGCACTCCGTGTCCTACTTACTACTCATATCTACAAATGTTTAAAACATCTTTCCGGGTTGCCCTGATTCAGAATCTTTTCTTTCTTGACCTTTCTACGTAAATATTTAGAGAAATATTATCCACCTTTGCCAATAATCTCGCCATAAATCTTGAAAATGTCTGCATTTATCAAAGCTACATTCGAAATCTTGTCAGAACTGGATATTGGTAAAAAAACAATAAGTCTAATTGCATGTTTTGAGGATAGTTGAGAAGTGTTGCCGATTAGTATGAGGTATTTGAGTTGGCTCCAATGCTTTCATTTACATGTCTACAGAATTTCAAGAAACTTGATTACGACTCTTGAATCAAACATATATACAGAGGTATATATTATCCAAAACATGCCGACTCTGCGAAACTCTCTGTTTGACCTATAAATCTATATGTTTGGTAAATTGCTTTCAATGTAGTGTAACGGGATATAGTTTAATACTCATTAATAATGAAAGAGCCATTCATTCAAATCCGTCAAGTGGTGCTCTGCCAACGTCATCACCCCATACCGATCGAGATGCTGAGTCAGAAATGCACAAGTAATCCCTACTAATTTAAGCTGGAAACAAAAAATGAGCCACGAGAACTTACATCGGCATATGTATGTCATAGAATGGTTGTATTTTTTTAATCAAAATCTCGTTTTACTTGTATACCCAGAGAGAAAAACACGAGGCTGGGCGTGGCGGAACAGAAAATTTCATACAAAGAAGCTAAATCAGTCTGGCGCTTTCCGAGTGTTTAATTTGTTAATGTCGAAAATGTCGCCATGAAAACCACCCCATTTTAAATTCCGTTTTGAGGATTTGCAACACCAAAAAATGCTTTGATACTCATTCGAAAAATGAATTATTTGGAAAAGTTTAAAAGATGCCAAGAGAGAATATATAGCACGTAACTTCAAGTAATTTTCTATAACATCTACAATGTACTTTGCTACCATTTCAAGTCACATTATAAGGCAAAACCAATGACAAACTATTGTATAACGTGTATATACATCTCAAACGAATATTTACATAATATCCACGGGTAACATGTAATTTATGAGAATCTTTGGAGTTCTTTGAAGTCATTTCATCGAGGATTTGAAAATTCCCATGGAGGACGCCATGTTGACGCCTATTTCCGGCCGGCGTTTTGACAAATCTATCCCAAACCACTATTCCGCTTAGTCCAGTAAAAGGGGCAAAGTTGTCTTTATATTTTGTATCATTATTATACATGACATGTCATGCTTCAAAGCCAACCGGTACCATAAATAACCACAAACGAGTTAAGTATATTGCCAAAAATAACCGCAATGTCCATCTATCTCTATGGGGTTATGAATCAAGATTTCCAAATCTTTGGGGTTCACAGCAACAATTTCACGCTTCGGTGGTTGCACATGTTGAATCCAGGATGCATGAATCCTTTGCCTACTTAAAGAGTTAGGATCTTGTCTATACCGTTTACTTTATCCGGTACTTTCCCAGTGTAGATTATAGGAGTGTTCAGCTTGTCTTTCTGACTCGTTCATTAAGTAAATGAAACCACGCGTTGAAATTAACTCTTATCATGACTCATTGATTTAAAGCGAGTTAAAAAAAAACATTTTTCATGTCTCGAAACGCAAACATCATTATAAACGAAAATGCTATCTGATTTTAATTCTAAATAAACTAATTTCTAAGTAAATAAAGGCGTCGACCAGATTTTGAAATCGATGTTTGTGACTGACAACCATTTCAAAGAATATTCCCATTGCAAAGAATATACCTATAGGTTTACACCATATTTTCTCTGGTGATTGCATAACTCAGCAAAACTGCTGTTTCTGAATGACTACATTGTCTGTAAGCTGTGAAAGCATCAGCTATTCTCTTTAGATCAATCACAAACATATTTGGACTTTTAGTCGATATTTGTTATGTGACAAGAATATGATATTTGAGCAAAACATGTCACAAAGAAATACGAATTAATTCACTTTTAAAACTTTTTTTTAACAATTGCCACTTCTGCAGCGTATATATTATTGTATGACAACTCTTGAGTTCAGGACTAATGTTATAGGCTCTCGCGAGATCGAGTACGGGTGGGCGACAATGACCTAAAACCCGTTAAATACACGAGATTTTGGAGAGTTATTCATGACAACGTGTTGTCTCCGTCCGGGAAAGTAGTGACACTGTGATGCACCCCACAATGCACATTGTTCCGAGAGGGTTATTTGACAGTTAACAAACAGTAAAACAGGGCGAGGAAATTGGGTTTTAAAATAAAGTCACAAGTGTCCAAAGCTCTTTCAGCTTAATTTGAAAATTTCGAAATTTATGTTTCTTAAAATAACGACAAATTGAAAGCTCTATAGCTAAATTTTGTATTTCTTCTGACGCATTTTGTCATACACGAAGTGTTTTTATCGTAACCTTAAGCAGATATATAATTTGTAATAATGTAAGTTTTACACATCAAGTTGGCCAGTTTCTGAACATCTCCGTTGTAAAAGGACCCAGACAGACTTGGATTAAATGCTTCTCCGTTTTAATGGATCAACTCTGTGAAGGATTTGACTCATAAAAATCCTGAGAATGTTCGACTAATTAGCCGAAAGTGTGTTAGTCGAAAAGAGTGAAAAGTTAAAATATTGAAAAATTGGTAGTTCACACTCACCTTTCCCAATAATCGTCCACGTAGGTATGTTGTGTCGGACGTGGAATCATATATTATACAATTTGGATCGAAGTGATTCACGTTTATTTTGCTGTTTGTATCTTCTGTAGTTCTATGTTGTCTCATCTCGACTTGCGTCCCTCTGTTTTCCTTCACATGTGGAAAATGAGGATAGCTGAAGTTTGGTCCTGTTGAAAATTTCGGTTGTAAAACATCCACCGACATCGCTGTCTTATATTAACATGAATAAACACTCACTTCTGAACTAGAAAAGAATTCAGGAATGCTCACCCCAGTATAGATCCACATATACACACATTAAAAAATCTGTCGAAAAGAGAATATTTTTTATCATGTACTAAAGACGGTTTATATCTTAAAACAATCAAACTATGTCTACCAAAGCTAGATCTATGTATGGACGGCGGTGAGAATTTTATCTCCTCTCTTGAAACCTACATCTGTTCATTGGCTTTAGCTTAGAGTCAATCGTGGCAATACACTTCTCTGATCCCCCGATGTGATAGGGGTCCTCTGTGCATGTACTTTGCCCGTAGCAGTGGTAGCTAATAGCAGGTCGTTCGGTCGTCCGTATCAATTATGCACGCGAGACCTTTCCAGCATCTGTACGCAACCTGCAACATATAGAATGTATTGTAAATCCGTTGTCGTTCTTATCAAACGTATAGAGATGACTATTAGGGGTTGGTAGTAGGGGTAAAAGGAGGCGAAGGTGAGGAGGAGTCGGGGGGGGGGGGGGTACACAATGTTGTTAGCACCTTTTTTACGATTCAGAAATCAACGAGGAGAAAAATGAATGAAAAGATAATTGAATGAATAAGGAAGGGAAAAATAAGGGATTTATACATATCATAACACCTTTCGGATATTTCATAAGTTTTAAAGCGATGTTCACGACATCGATCGTGTAGGGAAAGAGGAAGGGGGGGGGGGAGAAGGCAAGTGAGTTGTCTTTACATTATATACTGTTATCAATTGCGAGAGATCTAGTACAGAGGTAAGTAGAGCGTACAGCTTTAAGTCAAGAATATCAAAAGAGCATCGATCTCGCGAGTCGTGGGAGAAGAGAACCGTCAAACACTCTAAAAATTATCTGTAAACAAAAACTTACTGATAAAATATAAATACGTCAGTGATTAAAATCTCTCGGGAGAAGAAAGTAATATCACTCCCTACTAACCCTCGGTCACATATTATGTCGATACACATCCATCTTAACAGGAGGGGGCTTCTCGGGAGGGAAAAGGGTACATGATCTCTCGGGTGATGGTCATGATAAAACCTGGCGGGAGGGGATCAGTGGCCAAGAGGTGTGTGGTGAGGGGATGCCCTGAAGATATATAGGTTATAACTGATAAACTGATAGAGGCATTTAGATCTAACATGTACATCTATCATCACTTCCCATTACAGCGGGCTTCTGGTCACGGTGTGTACATTCACTGGGCCTGGACATGGCTTTAAATCACTCTTGCTTCTTTGGATTCCATCGAAATTTCTTTTTAAGTATCTATTAATAATTTACATATGTGAACTGTATCTGTATTAATTAACAGCAGCATTTAAGACAATAAAATTGACGTAGTCGACATATCTCTGCGGAAAGACGTGATAGAACAAGTTAATGTTGGGTAGAGGGGAATGTTATACTATTGAAAATCATATAATGTTTACGAACATATAATCAAATTACTTAAAACATTAATACAGAGAACTAATTAAAATATAATTAACAACTATTTATTTTAGATTAGACATACATCCATCAGCAATCAGTATGCAGACGTATTAATTATGACAGATAATCCGAGCAGTCCTTAATGGTCATACGATACGTGTTAACTTGTCGATATGTTTTTCGTGGAGTACATGATATACATACAGATTTAGATATGTTCGCTTAATATTCTACAATCATGAAATGGTAATTTTTTGATAAAGAGGAATGTTAATGTATTGTTATGATACTCGACCCCTTGACGCTGTCGAACCTGGCCATGGCGATACGGACACTATAAAAAGTAGGCGTGCACCGTAAGAAAACACCTTTGTACGCCAGATTCAGTGTAATATACGTAATTTTCCTATGTTCGTTTATAACATACTTAGATATGTGTACACGGTTCAAAGTTGTACCTGTAATTCTACATGTACATGCTGGTCACGTTTGTACACAGGTGTGTATTGATTATTTGTATATATAAAGGTACATGTATATAGCAAACCATTGTATATTATCTTATAACTAATATCTTCACCAACACACGGGTTACGTCCTGGACAACTTGTCAAGAATGGTTTACACACAGTTTACAAAAAAAACCCACAATGTAAGTCCCATTAAGTGAATACTGACCGTCTATAACACTGCACTACATTACCTATACCGTCTAAGACAGGCACACCTGGATTTACCTGTCAAAGCCAACCATTGACAACCAATAACTACATGTATAGATAACTCACCTGCTGTAATGGTGAACACCTGAGAGCTATGTCACATTACCAACAAACGTTGGACATATATATTCCTTATTACTGTACACACAAACACACACACGTCCTTCCCACGGCCCGGTCTAGCCTTCTCTGACACTACGTTTCACACTCCAAGTGCAGGGTTTTTCATTTCTTTGTAAGGCAGAACTAGAGCCGAGCGATTTGTTAAAGAACTTTTGTCAAACCGTGTCAGCTGATCGTAGCCAGCCCCAAGTGTGTGTGATGTCATGCTACTTCATGGGCGGAGCTTAGTTAAAAATAGACTGGAATCTAGGTGTTGAAAGCTCCGCCCACTTCGAACTATGTCTCGTCTGTACAGGTATAGCATTATACATAAATTAGCTGTTGTAGCAAGGTATAATGCAGTTATCAGTATATAATCTACTTACCAGCTTGGTGGAAAATAGCAATACAAGCAGTATACACTATTAAAAATACCATGAAAATCCCATAAATGTTTGCAACCCGCAATATATTTGATACATGTGCAGGCGATACGAAGTTTGACGAATTGTGATTATATTGCAAAAACTTATTCCATATAAGGTAATATTCGGGAAACCGAAATTTAATCATCATTTGAATATGTATTTTTTACAATGACATAAATACACAGACTACTTTATGAATTTCATATAATTTCATGATAGATAGAGATTGGTTTCAAAGATATTCGTTCAGTAACATCAATTAACAAAATGTATCTTTTAAGATACATATGTAACATTTTTGCGATTGATTGACAGGAAAATACCTTACAACCACTGACGTAAAGTCATGTACATTTAGTAAGCTTCTATTTTTGTCATTGACTGGGGACTTTCGTTTTTTTTTTTTTTTTGCAATCAGACTAATGCAAGATTTTGTTATTATAATTATATATAAGCCTGTGTTAACACTCGATTTTTTATGTGAAATGTGTCCAGAAATAGCTGTGAATTGTGTGTTATTCTATAGACTTAATGATTTTATTATAATTGTTTTATTCGTCGTTTCTGGTGTATAGGTAAGAGTTCTGGCACTCTTTTTAAAATAAGATGACCACTCTGTCGATTTAATCCGTAATCATAATATATGGCTTAATTATCATATCATCTGCCACGAGTCACTAAGATCATGAAAAATTACACATTGTTATCTTGTCAGAAATACACCCTTAGGTCGCAGACAAAATATACCCGTGTCAGATGTTCCTTCATGAAAAAAAAAGTTATTATCAAAGTCGTATTTTTTCCAAAAATGGCATATGACATCATTATCGCTTTTTAGTTTTCTTTTAACCATGTATGTTTCGTCTCCCTCAATGTAACACCATAAAACATTTAGAGTGCCAAAACCCCTTTACAACAGCAAGACACTCTATAACGCCAGAACCCTTTATGAGCTAAACTCCTTTACAACACCACAAATAATAACATTTTTTGAAAGCCAAGGCATCTTGATAACGCAAATATTCCACAAAACAAATGGTTACAGAATAAGAAGAATTTTTCTGTCTTTATACAAAAACACAATTAAAACTTCTTGTGGGTCCTTTTCTAATATCTATTGTTTACACCTTTCTTCAATGATTCCCCAGCTCTATCTTCAAACTCCTTTTTACACTGTCAACATTTCGTTTCTCAACAATAATTATATAAATAGAGATTCTGTCTGTATCAACACGGAAACGAAATATTTTGATCAGTTACTTGGTGAAGTTGTTTATATGAATTCATATGGTATGGACATACTACATATATATTTCTTAGAGGCCATGGTGGTAAGGAAATCACATTAAACACGTATAGACTTTTCTTAGCCTTGTTCGATGGTCGTTATCACGATATAAACAACACTCTTGTAATAATTACATGTAAACCGAAAATAAAAAAGAAACTCAATATGTCTGACACTATCAAATTTGATTATTTTTTTATCGAATAATAAAAAAATGTAGATTTTGCTGTAGTATTCCTTCATATCACTCAGACAGGAAATACCAATGTATAAAAAAGGTTATTTTTAGTTTCTAACTTTTATCAACATAAGTTGGCTTAGATAAACATATACAGATAAGACATAGCTAGCAAAACTTCGACCTTGAGGTCACTCTGGCACGTTCTGCTCTTCGGGTTATCAAAGGTTAGACATGCCGGCTGGACCACTTTTTATTTTGGGCCAAAAACATGTAGCACAAAGATTATCCGTTTTTTATAAGCAAAGAAAAACACAATCCGATATAATTGAATTCTTTCTAACCAACACTATGGTAAGTGCCAAGACGTAATCAAGCAGGTTAATTAGGACATGCAGGTGTTGTACTCCAAAAAAACAGGTGATAAGTATTTATGAAGGTAAAAACTAGTACGAAAGGAAAACACGAGGAGTAGGACATGTATATACACAAAATTTGCTAACCACCAAATTTATTACAAAACGCAAATAGATGTTTACAAATCTGACTACGAAATGGAAAAATCTTCCTGGTTGTCTCTTATAATATATATGATGGCGTTTTTAACATTGAAGATAGTGAATTGAATGAATCACTGAACATTTTCAACAAATACGGGATAGCACCTGTGCTCGTAAATGTAAATGTTTGACAATGTATTTAATTCATTAATTTAATAATGTTCATCTTATTAATCTATTTAATAGAACTTACTTTAAAAGAGAGAGAGAGAGAGAGAGAGAGAGAGAGAGAGAGAGAGAGAGAGAGAGAGAGAGAGAGAGAGAGAGAGAGATGCACTGTTATACCATTTAGCACCTCAAACATTATTCTGATGAAAGGAAATCATGTCCCATTTGATTATCTATAAAGTCATTTGCATGATTACATTATCTGATCAAATCACTTTATCCTAACTTAAAGGTGTTTGTTTTTAATTAAATGAATTCAAATCCTAACTAATGTGTGTAAACTTTTTTCAGATTGTGCGAAACTCGCACCTGCATTGAACACTAATGGATGTACTATCTAGATAATATTCTTTAATATATTGTTATTAACGTCTCAACTCATTTACACATAAAATGTACAATTTACATAAAATAAAACGATTTTCACCTGAAAATTTACACGGCGCGCATACAAGCGGTTAATTAAATACTTAATTACCTATAATAACAAAGCCACAGGGAATATTTTTGTATTACGTATAGTGGTGTTGGGAAAGTCACAGATGCCATCAGGTATATTTCTCACCTGTCATTCAAAGATCTCCGCAAGATCAAGTAATACTTCGTTTCCTTATTGTAGTAAGGTGCCAAATCGGACCGACCTTGGGTAAATATTATCTTTGTAGAAAATTGGACTAGGTGGGTGACAACTGTTAGTTTGATGTAACAAGATGAAATAGAATCAGCCATGTCATCTGACCAGTTTGACACAAATAATTATCTACACGCGAAACCCGATGATTGAGTTGAATTGGCAACAGATTTCGAGATTAATTTGTATACCTACTTTTATTTCTTACGATACATTAAACACGTGTTATCTATAAAATATCTTATCCTATGTATCGATCATTCGGTGTAATTACGATAGCCCGGGGATGTTGAAACTCTAACTACATACAACTTTTCAGGATATATATATATATATTTGTCAGAGTTAAAATATACACACATATATATAGGGAAGTAAAACGACTCTCTGTAAATGAATTAATTTACTGAAAAACGGAAAGATTATACGTGGCATATGAATCATACAACTTTCCCCTGTCATATTTTTTTTCTTCTATTTTTTTTTTATTTTTAAAATATATCCGATTACTGAAAGAATTAATTGTACACAAACAACTTTAAAACTACCATTAATTAATTAATTCACTCATGCATTCGTTCTTTTGAAGAGGTCTATTAATGCTCACATGTATATGACTTACGACGTAGGCTAAAAATATACCATTTGTACAGGAATGTGAAGTATTCACATGAATTGCATTTGTACAGGAATGTGAAGTATTTACATGAATTACATTTGTACAGGAATGTGAAGTATTCACATGAATTGCATTTGTACAGGAATGTGAAGTATTCACATGAATTACATTTGTACAGGAATGTGAAGTATTCACATGAATTGCATTTGTACAGGAATGTGAAGTATTTACATGAATTACATTTGTACAGGAATGTGACAGAAAAACACACTACAGTATTGTAATAAGTAATATATATAACCAGTGATGTGTACAAAATGATGTAAATAATTATGAAATTTTACAAAGTTAAATATTTAAGATAGAATAAACCCTAACTATTAACGATAGAATCAACATTCCCAAACAATTACACATGCTATTAGCAAATAAGACATTTGATAAGATACACCGTACTGTAAGATTACGTCATTTGTGTTCAAATGCATGGAATTTTAAACAGTTCACTGAGAAAACTTCAGTACTTACCCAGAAATATGATTTAGCGACGATAAACGCACCTGCTTCTTTACTGTTGAAAAAATTCTTAACACTAATATTCCGTTGCTCAAGGAAGACAACTCCAATACTAAAAAAAACACGTGTGGGTGAGATCAGCTACAATCTATATATACGACCTTCTGCAATATGAAATCAGTAGGCCGTGAAATATATTCAAGTGTTTTACGTCACTAAATCTCCCCCCTAATACACAAGTACCGCATAGATACAAAGTCGTGTAGTAATGTAATTATAATTCAAAGATTAATACATATACAAGAAAGATATATTTTGTAGACTTCTAGAATAAAATGTTTTCTCATTTTTTCTATGTTATAGAGTTTGTCTTTCTGAAATATCAGGTTATATTTTTTCTTCGATCGGGTTAACTAGGAAAAATATTGAGGATTTATATTTTTGTTGTAGTAAAGTCAGTACAGGTTAACTGGGGTCTTGAAAGTGGTCATTAGTAGCATAGTCTATCTTACACTGCTTCTATAATTAATCTTGTCGTAACAAGTCAATATGTCATAAGGCGGGGAAAAACAATAGGTTATTTATATTGACGCTATATGTGTTAGTCGTAAACATCACATGAAACAATCAAAATTACCATGGACACATGAGGACATG